GTTAATATTTAGGAGTGAAAAACAACACTCCGAATATCGCTTAAGGTATGTGCTTTTACTACCCTAATATCCCATTTTTAATGTAAGTGGTCATCAAGGCTAATTTTATGCAATTTGATGTGAATGCGTAATGCAAAATATAAAGTGCCAAATGTTATAATAAGACTGACAAAAAGCACAAATGTGAAGAGCGCAGTCTGTAAATGTAAGCTTGAGCCAACTGAGGCCAGCAGGTTCAGGCTCAATTACCTACTTCTACTTCTCTTCAGAAATATTTATTAGAACATGCGGATCAGTGCATTGAGAGGAACTAACAAATATCAAGATTTGACCCCCGCTTGAAGTCTACTTAAACGGCAATGCCATCAGACGCAAGAAGTATCATTCTGCAATTGAAATAATAGAAAAGATTTGATCATATATGTCTAAAAAGGCTAAAGGTGGACGAAGACTTCAAATCACACCTCAGAAGTCCAAACAGCTTAGTTAGTAGAAGTTAAAAAAAGACAAATATAACAAGGACGCGGTATATACACGTTGACTCAAAATAACAATATGCTATTTGTAGAAAAGAACGCAATTTAAGACGGGAAATAAACGCCAAAAAATAGCAGGAATCCCACCTAGAGTTAAAATGAAATCAGTAGCGTAACTAGAGGTCGCCAGCCATCCGGAGAGAAGTTTACGAGATTCGCACAGTCAAGCCAGTACTGACCAAGAACAGGCTACAATACAATCATTCAAATCTCCAAATCGAGTGCAATTTGGAAACATGGAAATGAATTTGATTGTATCTGCCCAAAGGTGAATAGGACAGTCGTAACGTATTTACTAGTGTAACTTAAGGTCAACAGTAATTCGAAGAGAAGCCGATACGATTCGCGCATTCAGGCCAACACTAACCAAGAACAGACCACGATGCGATCATTTAAATGTCACTTTCATGCGCGATTTGGAAAAATAGAAACGACTTTGATTAAATGTACTCAACAGTGAACAGGGCGGCCTGAGCGTATTCACTAGCGTAAAACCAAGTCGACAGATATTCGGGAAGAAGTATATGGGATTCGCAAAGTCGAACCGAAACTGCCCAATATTAGGCTACAATACAATACTTCATATCTCCCATTCTAGTGCAATATTCCAGCATGCAAACAAGTTCTGTTAAATCTACTCAGCTGTGCCCATGGTCGTCAGGAATATACTCACTAGCCTTACTCATGGTCAACGGTCATTCGCAAAGACGTCAATCCAATTTGCTCAGTCAAGCCAAAAGTGACCTGAATAGGGCCGCAAAACGATGCTTCAAACTTCAAATGCAAGTGTAATTTATCAGCATGAAAAAGTTCAGTTAAATCTACTCAACTGTGTCAACGGATGTCGGCAATGATTCACAAGCCTAATTCAAGGTCAACAGACATTCAGGGCAACGTCAATGAGACCTGCTCAATCAAACCAATATCAAACAGAAAAAGGCCCCATTGCGATCCTTCAACACTCACATTAGAGTGCAATTTGCAAGCCTGCGAACGAATTCCGCTATATCTACTCAACTGTGCCCATGGTAGTCAAAAAAGTTGTAACTAGCCTGACTCAAGGTCAACTGCCTACCTTTATTCTTTCGTCACTAGCACTCCGCTTCCACTATTCTTTGCATCGTGTTGAATTAAAACTATTAAGTTTTGTTTATCAGGTTAATTAGTTTTAATGGATGTGCTAAAGGCTGCCGCAAAAGGTTCTGGAGGAAATTTCGTGGGAAGAATGTGTGTCATATGTACGTGACACCAGACGAACAAACATCTCAAACTGCAGCAATGGTAGGTCAGTCAAAAGAGAGGAACATTTCGTGAGTGTTAAGTGATTAATAAACTGCCCGGGAAGTTATCTGTTTGGTCTTGCAACTATTCGGCAAAAGTATTCGCACTAATTATGCCTTGTGGCGAGTCATAACGATTTCAAAACTGCGAAAACCAACAGCGAGGCCAATCCACGGAGATGTCAAAGGGTTTCAAGGTTCCAACTACTATTCACGCTTTCAACATCAACAATAGGGTGCATTTGAGACGCACACAAAAACACTCGATGCATATCGTTGTTTAGAGAGAGCTCTTCAATTGGTGAGTGACCAGATTCCACAAATCAAGGCATGATTAAAGTCAGGATGAATAATATTTCCAGCACCACTGGTACCATTCCATCGGGAACATTTACGTCGTCATTAGGACAAGAAGAGCTCAATCACATGACTACAACATGGCTTTAAAAGACTCGGTGATACAAGAGACAACTAAGCAACTCATACTACGAAGAAATACACCCTTTCAACATACCACGTAAAGTGATGCAACGGAAGACGGGGAAACAAATTAAGGCTCTGCTAGTCTACACGTGGAAAACTTGATCAGCTTATTTTAAATGGATAAAACATATTCTTACAGGGGGAAGTAATCCATGTAAAGTCAGCAGATTTCCATGAATGACCCAAAACGCGAGTTAATAAGGCAAACAGACTAAACGCAACCGCGATTCATTGACAGCCCACCTTCCAGGGGATGCCAATCTTCCCAAAGGAGAGGTCGTGAAATTGTTATCTGACGGCGTAGAGACTAACGAAACGCTCCGTGATTATGCGGCCCCGGGAACGACCAACCCAGTGGCGACGCAGCTCATCACCGGAGATGGACTCCTTCACATTTGTACTTTGAGAATGACTGCTACGATTGAAGA